TTTCTTATTGATGCGAAGGAACTACTTACACATTTCCATTGTATCATCTTTTGTACACTTATTCCGTTGACTTGCTTTACCGACATGCGCGGACAAGTGGGTTCCCTCACCCTGGAACTCGTCCTGGAGCTGGACGAGGTGGCACTTCGCTCAGTATATATGATCCTTCAAATTACAGCACTTGGGTAATTCATCCAGATTGCTGGGTTACTTTCTCCTCTCTTTGAGTGACGATTTTACATATTCATTAGACATGACTTTTAATCCTGCCAGACAACCTGAAAGCATAAAAAATTCCAAATTTAGATTAAAGTGCACCATTTGTACGTGGTGTGAGGTTTTCTTCTTTTTAAGACTGGGGATTTCCATTACCTGGGATGAAAGGGAGACGATAAAATTTTTTTGTAAAAGAATATATTACCGGAGATTTTCCACCACTAATTGCTATAATTGTATCCGTAAAAATGACATGCAATTGTAGATTCAGGAATAAATTATTATTATTATATGTTCAGATGAGTTGACTGGGTACGAGCAGCATCGTAATCTGAAATAAACCCACATAGCTGCCCTGCATTAGGCCAGGTTTACGGACATAAATTTTGATGCTCATGCAGTATCTATATCAGAATTCTGAGGCACATTAAAGGGATTTCGTGTACCAATGTGTCTCAAGATAAGACTGAAGTGACGTTTTTCCTTCGGTTCATTCTTGGTTTCGGAAACGGGGGTTCGGAAACATTTCAAAACAGCGCAAGAGTACGTGACACATTAGAAGACACATGTGAAACATTAAAACAAACAGAAACGGAGGAATTCGATGAAATAGCGTCAGTCGAAAGTAATTTGGCGGCTGGAGATTTAAGCAGGTCGCTAGAAGCACCCAATGTGGGACGATTATTTTGCCCGGGAGTTTGTGTTTATGTTGACGTTTAAAAAAGTGATGTATAGTGTCCCACTATGGATATTAGAGGCGGAAAGCGCATGCCTGAAAGGATCCCTGAAACTAATTTTATCTGCTGAATCGGAGCATCCATATGTGATCTACGTGCGATGATAGCATCGGCTGTGGGAAAGAACGCTGCTAATGCGAGATCAGTACAGACACAAAGCGACATGCGGTTCTGCACATATGTTTTAGAGTGGCTTGACATGTACCGCAGCTTTTTTCGTAGGTATCATGGGCGAAATTTTGATAATCTTAGGTGTTTTCAAAAATGATAGATGCTTGGTTGTGACGTTGGTCAGTGTAAAAGGTGAACAAAAACAGTGCTTACGCTGGAATTACCACATCACAGATCACACTACATAGTAAAATGACACGAAGTCTGAAGTCGTGCTGTGGGCTATCCTAAGGAGGATGAATAGCAATTTGTTACCGATCTTAAGTTTATATAGTCAGGACTCATCTAGGAAAAAGAACCGATGAGGCGGAGAACTATGCTCTTTTTCAATTACATCTTCATCTTTGGCTCTAAGCTAGTCTATAGGTTAAGGTTTCGATTAGAATACCGGTCAAGTTGTGTGGGCTTAGTGAACAACAATTATAAACTTTTAGTGAATCGCAAAGAAGAGAAATTTGAAGAATCTAAGTGTAACTAGTCAACTGAGTAACTGTGCGTGATTAAAAGTGGTTATTATAGCAGTGTGAAACAGGTTGCTCTTGGACTAACTGCACAGTAACTGGAAAGGTAAACGGAGTATTTTTTTCTCGAGTGGTCAGTCGCAAACAATGTTTTGACTACGTCGAAATGAGAATGCAAATGAACAAGAGGGGTAGGGGTGTGAAAGTTAATATCAAATGTTATATTATGCTGACGGCCATGGTAACTAAAGTGGCTGGAGAAACCTCGTTTGAGTACAATGATTAGTTTTGTGTATGCAGATCTCAGTGTCTTCTGTGATTATCCATCGCCTACTTTTGCACTTACGACCAAAATTAGGTTTAAATGGAAGGCAGACAAAATCTATATGGACCTTCTTTGTCCTGATCTTCCTTTACACGGTAATTTTTCAAATACTTGTTAAGTTTCCCTTGGTGGTTAAAGGAAGCCCTCGTCTAAAACTCTATGAATAATTAGTTGTAAATACCATGTCCATTTAACGGGGTCAAATTTATGCAGTAAAGTTTGACTTTTAGGATACAAAGTGATCCGAAAAATAGACGCAATTTTTCAGAAATTTCGGTTTCTAAGAGTTTAGTGAGGAGGACGTGAGAAGTCGCCTGAGAATACAATGTTACTGCCTAAGGAAATTCATTTTTCCTCGGTTTTGTATGTTAAATTGAAGGCATGCACCACAGAAGGCTAAGTGGTGGTTTGAAACAGCTAAGGTGAAAGAAAATCAAGGTGGTTATAAAATATTTTGGAAAGGAGTGCTCCACGAAGTGAAAACCCATTATTGTGATAACAGTACGGGTTCATCTCATGGAAAGTTCAGGCATGCGCCCACTGATGCACATAACATGATGCAAAACGGCGATTCCCTTGTGTACATGGAGGGGATAGGACTGTTGATGTTCCAGAGTGAAGAAGAGCCTTCATACCTATTGGCAAGGTAATAACCCAAGATAAGATACTTTTCTTCACAGCAAGAACTCAGCTTGTTGTCAAAGTCAAATCATATTGGATTCATCGGCCTTCGATGGTTAAGATGAGTAAAATATTGATGGGAGAGGTGAGAACTTCAGTAAGGGACGTTAAAGCACTTGCAGCATGTTTCATAATGTTGTGTAAGACTTCCCTGAGATGCACTATGACAAAACTGCGTCGATGCGCATGATTTTACACAGCGTTCTGATGGTTGATGCACTAAGCAGCACTCCAAAGAGGTTTAGTCCGTACTGAGCTTCCCCTTAAGAAGATTTATTGTATTCTGAGCCAAAGTGAAAAGCGAACCGTGCTCCGAAAATCTATTGCCTTTGGGGTAGCGGCCGAAGTACGCCAAATAAAATTACTTAGATTCAAGCAGTCTGACTCAGGGTCTATAAACGTTTGTGGGCTAATTTGCTGACACACTTGCTCTTCTCCGTTGTTTCGTTGAATCGACTTGTTAGAATTGTTCGTGGCATAGTAGATAACGCCTTGACGTTTGGGGCGATGGGTACGGGGTTCGAGTCTCAGTGAGAACAACGTCACTCACCGGGGTGCGGGTACATCCAGCTGACGAGTCTCAAGTAGGACGAAATGCGCAAACTGGATTCTTCCGCTGGCCTCACCCAACCAAATTTGTGAGCTAGGTTTAACTTTTAAATCTCCATTCATCCCCACAAAGCGATTGCCCCACCCAAAAAGAATTGTTTCAGAGATGATCCCTCGTTAGTAGTAGTGTTTAATTGTCAGCCAGCAGATACAATATGCTAGTTGGTAACCACTAATTCCACAAATTGTACTTTAAGAAGTAACCGGCTGAGAATATAAACTCAATCATGAGATGTAACTTTGAACGACATCACCACATTGTTTCTAACCACCAAGGGCGGGAAAATATCAGAAACACGTAATTGTCATTCATAGCCGTTCCGCCAGACACCTGAAAGAAACAGCTTGGTGATCACATTAGCAGACTCTGGACGTTATTCGGTCAATCCATTTACATACAGTGGAAAATCCACTTCGATGAAGTAGCGGCCGCAGTCACTTCACCCTTCGTGCAAAGTCATTGTGACGATAAACCTGACTATGATTCGAACCCGGCGAATGTTCACCCTGCATAGTGCCCTTGCAAAGGACTACTACTTGAGCCCAGCGGTGAGGTGCAGTTCTATATGAGACTTCTTCGTTTGGTGTCTAGCGCACAGTGTGCGATTGCGAGTATGAGGCATTACATCATACCTCTAACAACTCTAAGCTCCTCATTATGGAAGAAACTCAATCTTGACAAACTAGGCACTGATTCCTCGTCAGGGATAAGCTGTGTTACTATGGCAGGCACAATGACTGGACTCAATTAACGATTAGTTCTTAAAGGCCTTGGGGTGTATCACCCTTTCGCCTCCACTCTGTTTAGCCTCTCCACGAAAGTTCCAATAGTCTACTTTCAAGACCTGGTTTTCTGAAAAACCTCAAGTTTTTATTACTCTCATGCCCTCTGATTTCAGGCCTCGAATTCCGGCAGTGACATCTTATGTGACTGTCACGTGGAAAGAAGTCGAGAATGGTGGATAAGTCAGGTTTACCGAGTTTGCGCGTGCTACTCAACAAGTAATCTCATGGTTTCAGTGAATGCCACTGTGGTGCAAAAGCCTCCCCAAGATCATGATGGTAAGGTCTTGCGTATTCGCAAATGAGAATGCCACATTCCTTCCGTTTCTAATATTTGGCGTTGGGGTGGTAACTGACGTGGTCTTCACTCACAGCCTTTGTTAACGTTTGCCTTATTTGCCCTCTACTTCTTTTCGCTTCTAGTGCATGCACTGTGGAACTATGGAGGGAGACGGCTGTTAAAGTTTGCATATACTGGGGATACAAGATTGGTGACACCTGTGAATTCCTCGCCATCGGGGGAACGATAGTCACCAACATCAGATAGGATGTTCTCACCTGAGGAGACCATTATAACAGAATTTATTTCAAAGACTCCCCGACAAAGGGTCAGTGCAGATGACCATCTGTCTGAATACCTAACTGGAGCATGGTTAACTATGTTATTTGTGCGCTACAGGGTATAAGCCAGAATATACCTTTTTGCTCTCCAAGGCTGTGACATTGAATAAATAAATAAATGCTTTATTTTAACTTCAAAGGAAATCAATGAAAATCTGGCTGCTCACACTTGAGAAGAGGGTCAGTGGTTCTGATATCAATATCACTCAGTGCTGTAAAATGAAAAATTAAGAAAAGTGAAATCTAGTGAAATAATTGAGAATATCCAATGTAATTATACCTATACTGAAAGTGGCATTCTTGAAAAAGCACATGTTACAAAGACTGATACAGGTGGTTCGCTCTTATGCTTAGAACAGAGATCAAAAGGTGAGGAATGTGGCAAGCGAACTCCAAGTCAGAGGCAGAGCGGGTTATTTAAACTGTGCGTTACTGCATCGGCATGAGGATTTACCGGTGTTGGTTCTGTTCGAGTCCAATATATCCTGGTCACGGAACCCTTTTTGTTCGCAACGACTGTAAGGTAAGTATTTTAGTTAAGTCTTTGTCCATTTCGACCGACTCAGGCGAGCTTATCAGGTTGACAGGTCGCAACTGTACCAAAATTGTTTAAAACGGTGGTTATTATTGTTAATCAGGTGTTATCCACAATAACAAAAAGCTATATTCCTATTTGTAGTGTGCATTGCACTAAGTTTAGGATTTCAATCTTATCTTTCTAACTTCAGGCTTTTACAGAATAATTACCCTGTCTTGTAATCACAGGGAAATGAAGTGGGGAAAATGGAAAATAAAGGGGAAACGTAAACAGTGATGGGAAAGTTGTATTAAAAGGGCTGAATAGGGGAGAGAGAGCAAACAAGTGAGGTGGGAAAAGCGGCTTCGATGGTGATAGTAGATATGTAGGTCGATTGAGGAAGGCAACTTTAAGGGGGGAAAGTAGACAGTCAAGGGGAAAAGGTGTAAAATAAATATAATAGTTGCACTTCTCCATGGTTTTTACTTCGTTTCCCCTATATATGTTTTATTCTCTTTTTCGTTTTTACGGGTGGGTATGTAGCTTATTGTATGCAAAATTTGCATGCTTTCCCAGAATATTTTTTGAAGTACAACTACCCTTGCGTATGTGTAAAACTTCTTTGTTGTCCTTAAACTCTCGTTATATGTCAGTAAGATGATACCGCTCATCATAATTAATACCAAGGAACCCTGCGAACACTTGAGTATCAACATAGCACTTGTAATTTTAACAGACCTCTAAGGGGTCAGTCTTCATGAAGACTGCAAATAATCGCTGCAGTGATCAGAGCATAAAGCCGAAGAACGTTTCATAGTCATTGTAGTGTGTATTTGAGAGAGTTTAGTTTTTGACTATTGTCGTAGTTAAAGTAGCGACGGTGGAACGATGGGATCTTGCCTTCCTTGAGCGACTACCAAAAGTCCTTGACTTAGCCAATCAGGTTTAGAATGACAGTAGTTGTTATGGGAAGCTTTGAATCAGGGGAACGATTTCGCTGACTATGGATAGGCTAGTGCATAGTTTTGAAGATCGAAGGGGATTATTTCTTTTACTATTATCTCGCGCTGTTTCCTAATCCTAAGAGATTTTTCCTGTGGCTGCATTTCAAATAAAGAACAGTTCTTCGCGAGAAGCTTCCACTAGTATGCTCTATTATTTGGTTGCACACCTTAAAGCCTAAACACCAACCTTATTTCCACTCCCTTCCCCATGCGACTTAATTTGAAGTAACCTCGAAGCAGCAATTAAATCATGAAGCAGCAAACTAACGGCGAGTAAGACCTCTTTTCACTGTGATGCTATCAAATCAACGGATTTTCACCTGATATCCAATACCATAAATGTCTTCGAAAGTTTAAAACTCTTAAATAATTGTACAGGGGTCCATGCAAGTCATTTATAGTCAATAGGGGACGACTTCAAGGCGTATTTACGTTCATATCACAACTCAGGTGGTTAAGTGGATGAACATCCTTATCGTATCTACTTTTACTTTAGACAAAGCAAAACTGAAAACATGAAATCCTGCGAATGGTTAAAAATAGCCTCATCTACCATAAATTTCATTTCATTTCCTTGTTAACTACCAGGAATAGACAGTTGTCTTCTTATTGGTGCGTTTAGGGTCATTTGGCAGTCCCTCAAGGATGGCGAGATTCTATAAGTCTGCCATAGCTGCTACCACTGTCTGTGATGGCAAGTCATGGTCATTGATAATCCAGTGAGAGAATCTGAGTTTCTCGCGTAGTTCTTTTCATCGTGCTTTTTAACTTGTTACCACACCCCTGAAATCATGTCCTTGAAGGAGTAAAAAGATTAGAGAGGTAAGTTGTCAATTTTTTTCGAGGTATAATGTACGATCATCGTAGAAATTGCATACTAGTTGCTGTGGAACGTCTTCAAGTCGTATGGAACTAAACGTTAATTTTTGGGAGGTGAACCCATCTCTTAGTGACCTTCGATGTGACGTAGTGAGAAGCTGTCTTTCCTCATTTTCTCACTTTCGACTTAGTTATGGTGCTCTCTACCGTTCAGCGCTTTTCAGTATAATTTGGCAAGTGAAATGCGTAGCCAATTGACTTACTAACACTGTTAATAATACAGCACTGCCTTTTTTAAGTGAGTGCGTTGTTCTGTGTATATGAAGGTAGCTAGGAGCTAAGTGGTATCTGATAGGTGGACAAACAACTAATTTAGTGTGCTCGTTGGGAGTAAACAAAATACTTTAAACAATCTATAGAACATTATTTTTTAGGTAAAGTATGTCATCCTTTCCTGTTTATGTGTCTAATATATCACGAATTGGTGTAACCTTCCACTTAATGATTTATCCCTTTTCTGTGTCATATGAGCCCCATAAGTTGAAATTACACTCAGCTATAGTATTCGATTGCCCTCATACCAGTATTTTATTAGTAAAATTTGCGATGTAGTTATTTCTCATTCACTCCCACATTACCATGCTTTCATTAGATATTCGCATCATGTCAGGACTTACAGTATCAATTCGGCATGGTCGCGTTTGAAAATATGCGAAGTAAACATGTACTGTGCTACGCATGTGTTAAAATGTTTTTAAATGACACTCGACAAAGCTGTGTACTTGTTAAGCACCCCTCTCAATGAGAGACATTTCCGCTCTATTGACTGAGTTGAATGTTATTTTAAAGCCAAGCAACCTAGCAACTAACAACTGGTAGGGATTCTTGTGTTTCAAAACCTGAAAGAGGTAGCAGTTCTAGTTAATGCAACCTTAAGTAGAGAAGACTCCGTTTCTTTTTCATAGCTTTGCTACTCTCCGGATATATATATATATATATATATATATATATATATATATATCCCCTGCAGTAGTTGCAAAATAACTTCGTTATTTGAACAATCATCAACCAAAATAAGTCTGAAAATGTTTTCCATAGTTATTACATTCTGGCTAGTAGCTTAGTTTGATATAGAATCATGGAAATCGAATCAAAATGCACTCAGCAACCTTGTGCAGTAGGCACGAATAAGGCACACTTATTTTGTGAAGGCTAATGACACTTCTTGATTACTCACACCTCAGTAGGTTGAGCGGTGTTCAGATCCGTAACCCACTGTTTGAAAGTCAACTGCCTAAACTAGTGAACCACAGCTCCACTACTACGACAAGATCAATCCCTGTAATCAAACGAAGAGACGGAATCCTTCATAACAATCCTTCATGATAATAATAGAAATGACGAGAGTAGATATCGTTGACGGACACTACTGGACGTATACAAGTCACCTGATACCATAAAATAGGCTGTGATATGCCAATGGGTGTTCAAATGCAGAGCCTTAAATGGTGTGCTTTCCCGGGACCCCTCTCAATCAAATATCACCATAAGACTTCTTGGTCGGTAGGGTCACATATCGCCTTAGGGTCAAGATATACAGGTGAATTTAAAAACCAGTGTTTGTCTATTTCATCACTTGGCAAAGAGTAAAGGTTTGGTGAATACGAAAGAGTTGGAAACCTGCCTCATTTTCAAGTATTTGCTTTTGCTAAGCCTCATGTAGACGTCTAATGATTATAAGACCAATGGTTTTAAAAACTGACTCCCGTATGGTTGTCCCTGAAAGGTCTCTTTTTCAAGATCGGGACAATCATCAATTAAAACTAGTCAGAGGGGATCATATCTGATTCATGTACGCTAGCTAATACTAGTTTATCCAACCAATAGTCCTAGACGACTGTAACTAAATACCTTTCGTGATAGCCCATCTGGCCTTGCTGGGGTTCCTCGTTTCCGGTTACTTACAGTCTTCTCAACTTCTCCAGGATTTGGGGGATCCATCTAAATGTTCCATTCAGAATCCGACCTCCCAATAGCTGCTATCTTGATGTGGTGGTTGAGTTTGCATATCGCAACGACCCAACAAGCTACATTGGCTGGGACGCTTGTTCCCTCGAGGTCCTACTATACCAGAAAGGTCTGTTGGATAGTGGTAAGATGCAAATTAGTTATCTCTGAAGTGTAAATTGCTACACTGTGATGGAAGTTGGAGGGTGAGGTCGTACCGCTGACTGGCAGGTGGTGGATATGACACAAGTAAGGTGTTTCCTTTGGATGACTAGCAGTGCTACTCTGATGCTGCCTCCCTAGTTCGAAAGGAGGGGTTTAGAAAAGATCGGCTCCAAAGTACCACACTACCTGCCTCACGGTCTTCCGGCTCCGATGGTATGGGTTTTCTCTCTTCGGCGTTAGAACAATCAAACCTCAAAACAACAAACCGCAAAAGTCTGTGTGACAGACCTCAAGCAGATGTTCCATGGGCTCTACGGCTTCACATATCTTTTTTTTATTTCAGATACCTTAAGAAGAAATAGTCTTCCATGGTGTGGGCAGTGGGGAAGTGTCAACCGCCCACACACTTCCAGTAGAACACAAGACCCAATCAAACATAACCTATCCTCCTCAACTTTATTTCCTTTGATTTCACCCCTTGATACTAATATTAATCTTATTGCACTTTCTCCAACCTCTCACTCTGCAGTCATTCTCAACGACCGAGAATGGAGGTAGGGAATTGCTTTTTGGATTGACGGAGTTGCTAATTAGTGTACAGAAATCAAAGGTTGAACCGCCAGACCGGTCTACTTCTCTGACCATCCCAGTCTACAAGAGGGGAAATTAGTCTTCCTTTGACAACCACAGAGGAATTAGTTTGACTAATATCGCATCCAAGACCTTAGGGTCCATGGTTATCCGACACCTAACTAAAACTCGAGAGCAGCAAACTTGAGGAAACAGGCAGCTTTCAGACCTGAACGAGGATGCATCGATCATATTTTCACCGTCTGACAGGACTTGGAACACAGTCATACTTGCCTGCGACCGACACTTACCATATTTCTTGACTTGACGGTGGCATTTGACTCGGTTGACCGTGGGGTGTTGTGGCAGTGTCTTACTGTGAAGGGTGTCCTGAGCAAGTTTATAAGGCTCATCAAAGCTCTCTACTCGGACTCACGCAAC